GTTTTACTTCACCATACGGTGTAATCCTTTCTTACTTATATCAATATCTGTTGGGTTTGGAGTCTGTTTTACTTCACCATACGGTGTAATCCTTTCTTACTTATATCAATATCTGTTGGGTTTGGAGTCTGTTTTACTTCACCATAAAGTGTAATCCTTTTTACTTATATCAATATCTGTCCGGTTTGGAGTCTGTTCTACTTCACCAGACGGTGTAATCATTTCTTACTTATATCAATATCTGTTGGGTTTGGAATCTGTTTTACTTCACCATACGGTGTAATCCTTTCTTACTTATATCAATATCTGTCCGGTTTGGAGTCTGTTCTACTTCACCAGACGGTGTAATCATTTCTTACTTATATCAATATCTGTTGTGTTTGGAGTCTGTTCTACTTCACCATACAGTGTAATCCTTTTTTACTTATATCAATATCTGTCCGGTTTGGAGTCTGTTTTACTTCACCAGACGGTGTAATCCTTTCTTACGTATATCAATATCTGTCCGGTTTGGATTCTGTTCTACTTCACCATACAGTGTAATCCTTTCTTACTTACATCAATATCTGTCAGGTTTTGAGTATGTTCTACTTCACCATATGGTGTAATCCTTTCTTACTTATATCAATATCTGTCCGGTTTGGAATCTGTTCTATTTCATCATATGGTGTAATGCTTTTATACTTATATCAATATCTGTCCGGTTTGGAGTCTGTTCTACTTCACCAGACGGTGTAATCATTTCTTACTTACATCAATATCTGTCCGGTTTGGAGTCTGTTCTACTTCACCAGACGGTGTAATCTATTTCTTACTTATATCAATATCTGTCCATTTTGGAATCTGTTTTACTTCACCATACGGTGTAATCCTTTTATACTTATATCAATATCTGTCCGGTTTTGAGTCTGTTCTACTTCACCATAAAGTGTAATCCTTTCTTACTTATATCAATATCTGTCCAGTTTGGAGTCTGTTCTACTTCACCATACGGTGTAATCCTTTCTTACTTACATCAATATCTGTCCATTTTGGAATCTGTTCTACTTCACCATACGGTGTAATCCTTTCTTACTTACATCAATATCTGTCCATTTTGGAATCTGTTCTACTTCACCATACGGTGTAATCCTTTCTTACTTACATCAATATCTGTCCATTTTGGAGTCTGTTCTACGTCACCATACGGTGTAATCCTTTCTTACTTACATCAATATCTGTCAGGTTTTGAGTATGTTCTACTTCACCATATGGTGTAATCCTTTCTTACTTATATTAATATCTGTCCGTTTTGGAGTCTGTTCTACTTCACCATACGGTGTAATCCTTTCTTACTTATATCAATATCTGTCCGGTTTGGAATCTGTTTTAATTCACCATACGGTGTAATCCTTTCTTACTTATATCAATATCTGTTGGGTTTGGAGTCTGTTCTACTTCACCATATGGTGTAATCCTTTCTTACTTATATCAATATCTGTTGGGTTTGGAGTCTGTTCTACTTCACCATACGGTGTAATCCTTTTTTACTTATATCAATATCTGTTGGGTTTGGAGTCTGTTCTACTTCACCATATGGTGTAATCCTTTCTTACTTGTATCTTTGAAATAAAATTATTATAAGGAAACAAAAACATGTAGGCAGAATTTTGAGTGTTACATGAGGTTCTTGTTTATAGTCTTTTCTGTTGTTTTAAAGCTTATGAAGTTGTGAATTTGATGTGAAATATTTAACTACATTTTATTCCTTTGTGTGTGTGTGAAATTTTAAATATTACAAAAGTATCTCTTAACCTGTAACAGTAAAGACGTATCTTTTTATTTATATATAGGAGTTATACTGTTGAATCTTAGCTACCAGTGTAGGAGTTATTTGAAGTGATCTGTGAAAAGAAATTTTTGTTAATTTAGAAGATTATATGCTCGGCTTGTGCACTATCTGATTCTAAAGCTTGTGACGGTTAAGATATATGATTGAAGAATTACATATCACTTCCGAGATTTTTTTATTAATTTGTCGAGCTACAATACAAAGTCTGTTTTATTTATTATTGTATAACCAGTGTATTTTCACAATTGTCTGAATATACAGCCTCTATTTCTAATGGCATTTTCATTGATGCTCGGTTAGAATGAATATGTATTCATGAAAGAAGAAAAAAACAATTCATTCCCTCAGATCTCTTCATTAAATATTGAGTAAGCATCTTTATTCAGCTTATTAGTTTGTTAGTAACATTCATTGTTATCAATCCTAGATCTTGAACCAGCCTTTGGCTCCACAGACATTACAGTTGTTATATCAACTGCTGCAGCAGATCAAAGTACTTCATCAGTTACAGCAACAGCTGATGCAGCCCCAACCCTTAGGAAAGGGAAATCCTTCCTTGCAGCTGAATGTTCATATCGCACAAACAAAACAAAGGATCGTGAATCTCCAGAACCAGATTGCTGCTCAGCAAGCTCTTTTCCTCAAGCAGCAGGTAAGGCTGTTGTCAGTCATTTCTTTATGTCAGTACTGTGCCGTTCTTTTCCTCGAGCAGCAGGTAAGGCTGTTGTCAGTCATTTCTTTATGTCAGTACTGTGTCGTTCTTTTCCTCAAGCAGCAGGTAAGACTGTTGTCAGTTATTTCTTTGTCAGTAATGTGTCGTTCTTTTCCTCAAGCAGCAGGTAAGGCTGTTGTCAGTTATTTCTTTATGTCAGTACTGTGCCGTTCTTTTCCTCAAGCAGCAGGTAAGGCTGTTGTCAGTTATTTCTTTGTCAGTACTGTGCCGTTCTTTTCCTCAAGCAGTAGGTAAGGCTGTTGTCAGTTATTTCTTTATGTCAGTATTGTGCCGTTCTTTTCCTCAAGCAGCAGGTAAGACTGTTGTCAGTAACTTGTATGACACTTTATATTGATATCATGTTTGGCATTTCTTTTATGTGATTAATAAGGTTAATACCTTGAATGGAACTTTTATAGATTCCATACAATATATATATAATCAGAATGTTATAAAAAAAATAGCATTAAATGATTATTTTTTTATGTATTAATTTGTGTTTTTAAAGAAATTGTAAATAAGGATCAATGCATTTTCTCCTACACACATTTTTGAAATGGCCCTGAGCAAGCACTGCAATAAATAATTCCATCCAGCTATAAACCACCCTATCACACCCAGTAAGTGCCTTGCAGGTGTCGAGTGCATGTCTGTCCGTTTATTAACCCATTAACTGTGGATGACGGGTATTTCCATCATTGAAGTTCTATGGCTCAGCTGCGAATGACGGAAACATCCGTCAGTCGCACATATATAACTATAACTCTATGCGAATGACGATAATTACCGTTTTATTGCGATTGATGGCAACTCAGTTTTATCTGCGAGTCAGAAAACGCAACTGAGCTGCTCCTGCTGCAGTTAATGGGTTAAGTAATAATTATCTTGCCAATTGTTACATGAGAAATATTTTAGAATGGCTATTTTGTCATTGTGTAACATTTATTTAGTGTAATTACAAAGAAATTAATGATTCATGCCATAGTTTGCATGTGGTTTTCTCTTTCTCTGTTTCGTTATTTTTATCAATACGTTCTTTTGTTGCCACCCTTCTATGATGTCACATCATGTGGTCTGAACAGTCACTGAAGAAGCTCAGCTTTGAAAATAGCTGGAGACAATAGCTAAATATCGTTATATAGAGCAATTTATAAACTACTTATAATACATCAGTGGTGATCAAATAAAGTGGTTTGAATAGTAATTTGTTGTGGCTGCCTGGAGATTTTTATGTAGGGCTGAACAGATTAATCTAATGGGAAATTTACTTAAAAAAACATCTGTTGTGAATTTGTTTAGTTTCTTTATGCTTTTATTTTTTTGTTCTTGAAAATGTTTGTGTCAACTTGTAGGTTTTGAAAGTTACAGAACTATTGTATGACAAGATACCTGGTAAGCTCTTAGTTAGGTTTAGCGAGTACAGGAGGTGATCGTAGAATATTAAATATTCAAATCCTTATTTATGTATTATTATTGCTAACTTTATTATATTCAGACAGTACACACAATACAAGTTATTTATTGAAATTATACTATATCGATCAGATATATAAAATTGTCTTTCCCGAGAATACTATGATCAAGTAACAAAAAATGTAACAATATACTTTTTGAAAAGGTGAGGACCAGGGTCAATGATAAATATTTGTCAATGTTTTTTTTATGAATTCTAGCCAGAAATGTTGACTGTTGTAATTGGTGAATTAACTATCATGGGAAATCATGAATATTGGTCGTAATTAACTCTTTCACGGCAAGTTAAAGAGCAAGTTACGGTAACAGAGTTACGATATTCACTTGTACAGCAATACTTGTGGTAACTCTGAGATTTTTTTTAATGTATCTTCTCCAAAACTGAAACAATTTTGTTAAAGATCACAAGTATCCTGTACACAAATAATGTTGGTTTTGTAATTGTTTTTACTGAAAATGTTATTTTTCCGTTGTAGTTACTTGCATTCATACTATTAACAAATGGAGTGCAAGATGATTTTCATTTTAAGTATAAAATACTTTCTTCGTCTGTCATATTTCGTTTGCATAACCTCTAGATCCTCCTAAAAAAATATTAAAAATTGTTTTTTTTTAAGGTAAATGTTTATATTTTATTTTTCATTTTCTCTACCACATCACTAACTGTAGATATTATCAACACACAATGCAATGAAATGATTAAAATTAGGAAATAGAAAAAAACAACATACCTTTTGATTTTTGTAGAATATCTTTAAAGATGTTGTTTTGCTTATATTCATAATTTTGAGTCGTTCCTTTTCACGTTATAGTTAATGTTTCATTTTCCGTTCTTGTCCTTTACCACTTATTCATCTCGATACAATTCAATGGTGCCCTTACAGCATATTACAGTTTCTTTGGGAGACGTGCGACCCTTCGGCAAAATTTTTGTTCACCCCAAAATATCGTAAGCCTTGAAAACAGACACAAAGTATGATATATATAAATGTTTAAACCTTTTAATTATGTATTTTAATACATAATTAACTAAAATATAATAGTAAGATCTAGATACAATTTAAACTGTATCTCTAACTATATCATATTTAGGTAAGAAACAACCGTAAGTGCTACAGTCGATCAAACAGCCAACCATACTATTTCTTTGTAGACTGTGATGAAAATTGTTGTTAGATTATACTGTAAGATAAGCTCTTCCTATGTATGTGTGTGTGTGTGTGTGTGTATGTAACGTCTACATGAGGCTATAAAGCTCAAAGAAATCTGTTGAAGGTGGGTGTGGCAGCTATCAGGTGATTGAAAACATTTAATACTTGTTCCAACTGTATTCATTCATAGAACTTTGAAATGAGTGAGTCGGAAGGATATCTAAGCATCTTATTGTCTAAACGTACCATTGTGTTATTGAAGATACACAGAGCCAAAGTAGGGAATTTTCATAATTCAGTGGTCATGTGACAGTACATTTTTCGTGGTCAGTCAACTCAACAGAGTTGGGCTAGAGAAAATAACAGATGAAATATAAAGTTTTACTGAAGCAAAAAGAAAAAAAACTTGACATTCATTTAGCAGGTTTAGAGGTTACTCAAACGAAAAAAGTATTTTTAATCTCAACATCAAATTCATCTTGCAGTTGGACTAGTGTACCTCCTGACTCCATGTATTCATGGATGAATCACTAGTAAAAATGATTATGTAAAAAATTGATTTTCATGTACAAAAGACTTGCCAGATTTTGTGAACATCCCTGATTCAAGTTGTGATTTATCATAATTAATCCTTTGGTACTGCTACTATATTTATGTAGGGTTAACTTTATCACAACTATTAAGCACCTTGCAGTATTATTTTACTAAATTTTAGCACACTTTGATACATATTGTGTGGTTCGGAAGTGAAGAAGTTTTTACGTTGACCGTTAGTGTTATAAGTGAATATTTTAAACATTTTTTTAATTATTTGATGCAGAAGTTTTTATCTTGTAGCAATTTCCACATCAGTCAACCATATCAAGTCCTCAGCCGTCCCCTAATGATCTGTTTAAGCCCAGTGTGGATCCTGTAGCCACTCTTAATTCTGACTTACGTGAATTGCCACTGAAAGATTCTCCAATTGGCCAGCCTCAATCCCGTCTTCCCCACTGGAAGAATTCTTCCCATGAAAAGGATGATGCAGGAAACAATCCTGGTGCTAATTCTGGGGGAAATCCCAGTGGCTTTGGAGATTTCAGTCGGGCACCAGGATCCATGTCAAAGCCTTTGTCCTCACCTGTATTGTCATCATCTGTGTCTTCTTCACATTCCAGTCCTAACTTGCACCAGCTTTTGACTCAGAGTGATAGCACGTGGTCTAGTCTGACAGGAGCTCAGAACGACTGGCCAGAACCCTCTTCGCTGGCATCAGCCAACAACACATCAAACAGCATCGTGGGCAGTAGTCCTACCACTCCCACCAGCAACAGTTCCATTAAGGTAGGCACCTCCAGTGGCAATGGCAGTAATAATATATCAATGGAAGACCGAAAAGATTCTGCCTCTACCAATCCATGCACTAGCTCAAGTGCCCAATCCACCTACAATTTGACCGATCTCGTAGCCGAGTTTGAGCCAGGGAAGCCGTGGAAGGGTACCCCTCAGAAGAATATCGAAGACGATCCACACGTCACACCTGGCAGCGTGGCACGTTCTCCTCTCTCGCTGAATACTATAAAAGATTCAGAACTTTTTAGTTGGTCAGCAAAGTCCAGTCCAAACATTCAAAATAATGACACCCTCGTGTCTTCTCTGACTTCCACTTTGCCTGGCAGTAACAATTGCTGGACCTTTTACCCACCTACCTCCCAGAACAGGTAAAAAAAATTGGTATTATAGCAATATCTTCTAAAAGAAAACATTGTGTTTAATTATCAAATTTGAGGTTTCGTTGTAGTCAGTTTAATATCTTCACTGTAAAATGTATAGAAATGAAAGGGGGAAATTACTTGAGAATTTAGTTAGTTGTAAAAGTTTTTTTCATTGTTATATAAATAAATACCTCTGTATATCACTCAAGATTAGGAATATGTTAACCATTTCTCCTCAAGTCTACTGTAGCGTAAGCATTTGTTCTTGTATTCAACAGTAGTATGCATCTATTTTTGTGAGAGCAGACTAATGTGTTTGTAATTTTTCTTAAAACATTGTTCATGATTTCTGTTGCCCTCTATTAGCAGTGGAACTGTGACTAAATATAATTAGTGGTTTATTGATGTCTTTTTACTTGTACAATTTCTCAAAATAATTACATCCACTCTAGCTCTAACAAGCAAGCAAACTTAAAGACTGGTTGGGGGGGCACCTTGGGTCCAGGATCCGACGTCTGGGAAGTGCCTACCCCCAAAACACGTGGTCCACCACCCGGTCTCAGTGCACAGGGCAAAGGACTTGGGAGTTCTTGGAACTCGTCGCAGAGTGGAAGTCGACAGAGCTGGGGTCCCAGTTCTTCCTCGGGTAAGGCGTGTTATCGGAGAGCTCGTAATAGATTCTTTTATACGGAAATTGTATTCAGGACGGAGTAACTTAACTAGAACGAATATGTTCATTAGATTAATTGTAATATATTTTAGTATTTACTAGTATCAGTTGAGTAAAAGTTAAAAGTGTAAGAAACAGACTTAGTAGTGTAAAGTAAAATAAAGTTAGGCCCAGAGTAATTGTGATATAAAATCACAAGAGATAGACTGAATAGAAATCTAAATTGTAGAGTCCTTTATGCAACAGTAAAAACCTAAAATACTAAGTTACTTAACCCTGTTACAAAATTTAAGTTAAAGTAACTCTCTCTCTCTCTCTCTTAACTATTTTTAAATTAAAAATATTATATAATTGATATTTTTGTCACGCTTTATTAGTGTGAAAAATCAATACAATTTTGTGTTGTCTTTCCTAGCAGCTCAAGGGTTTTTTAAAAGCTGAGCCGTAATATAAGTTTCTATTTGATAAACCAAGTATCATGATTTTCCCTCTTTTTTTTTAGTGGTTTTATTACTACAGCCATTTGTTGTTTCTCTCTTAGGTATCGTAGAATGTGACGTGAACATTTAGTAATGAAATTCTGTATTGTAAATAGTTAGCCCATGTCTAATTATTTTAATAAAGCAGATTAGATAGACCAGGCGTATAAAACACACGGCCTCTGGGCCGTATCCGGCCCGCGTGGTGGTTTTATCTGGCCTGAGAAGAGTTCTTAAAATATAAGGAAATCAAAGTCTTTTTAAATTTTACTTTTGATTCCTACAGTGTGGCCTGCAATTATGTTTAAAAATTGTTATCTGGCCCTTGTCATGGAGGAAGTTGTACATACCTGATATATAGATTATATACTTTGATGTTGAATAATTAAAACGATTTGAACAGTAACTTGTAAGGATGAACGGTGGAGTCTAAAGGGAAGTTTAGAAAATTGCATAGGAATTTTTTGTAGGTTCATTCCTGAAAATATTTTTGTGTTAAATTTTATCTGTTTGAAAGCTACCGGAATTTTCTTCCATGACAAGACATCGGGTAAGCCAAGATAAGTAGGTGTTGGCCAAATATTCTCAAATTGTTATGTATTTAATACTACTTTCCGTACGGGTTTAGTCTATGTGACCGACTTTGTAACCATAGTGACCATTTAAGCTTGAATTCTATAACTTTTATATGTTTTGTATATCTCCACAAAACTTGGCAAGCTTTCAGTAAAGGTTCTTTGTACACAGTCACCTTTTTTTAATTAAATATTTTTTACTAAAGATTTCTCCATGAATATATGGAGAATTTTGACTGCTTAGAGTGTAAAGTGATGTTCATGTTAAGATCAAAAATACTTTTCTTCTAAAAAGTTTTAACATTTCATTTGCATAACCTGTAAAACCTCCAAGATAACTATTAGATTTTTTTGTTTATAACACTGTATTTTATCTGTTATTTTCTCCACTACAAGAACTTTATATGTTGCTGTGGTGTGCCCACCGAAAAAATAAGATTAAGTCTGTGAAACTCGTTAATACATGTATAAAATAAATACGAAATATATTGTAATTTTCTATATATATATTATACTCTGATGTGATTAGTGCTCTGTTTATTTTTGTTTTTCATTAATATTTATTTTAAAAATTCTTGTGTATATTTATATGTAGGATTAAAGAAGGTTAGAAAAAGTGTTGACAAGTGTGTTAGTTGTGTATATTTATATGTAGGATTAAAGAAGGTTAGAAAAAGTGTTATACGTGTTGACAAGTGTGTTAGTTTTGTATATTTATATGTAGGATTAAAGAAGGTTGGAAAAAGTGTTATACGTGTTGACAAGTGTGTTAGTTTTGTATATTTATATGTAGGATTAAAGAAGGTTGGAAAAAGTGTTATACTTGTTGACAAGTGTGTTAGTTTTGTATATTTATATGTAGGATTAAAGAAGGTTAGAAAAAGTGTTATACGTGTTGACAAGTGTGTTAGTTGTGTATAGAAGGTTAAGGTGAGAAAATGGTAAAAATAAATATTCAGTGATGATCTTTTTATCTAATTAAATTTGATTTCTCTAACCTTATGATTATTTTAACTAGTTGAAAATTTACACATTCAGTTAAGTATTGACACTTGAAGGGAAAAAAAGATATTTGTTTTGGAAATATCAGACTATAGTCTAAAAAGATATCAATTAATTTGTATCTGATAAAACGATTTCTTAAGAAACCAATAAAAACGATGCTACTTACTTTTAATTGCATAATTAACAACGTTTTATAATAATTAAATAGTTAATTTTTAAAGTTAATATTACCGAAATATAGTGTTAAGAAAACTCGGTCTGTTTCATCATTTGAACATGTGACTTCCCATTTATTGTTGGAAGCTGCAGTATTTTTCTTGGCACTTGTTTTAAGTTTCTTGAAAGGAAATGGTTTTTATTAAAATGCTCATAGCTGTTGTTTGTTTAATAATTTCTTTCCTCGAGAGCTACCACTTTGTGTTTGTGTTACTAACCTTGCTTATGGCTGGCAACTACACGCTTGTCAATGTTTATTGCAGAAAATAGTAACTGATGAGAGTTTTGTCTTTAGTTTTTATTAGACTACCTTTCCCCATTTCTTGGCTAATTTCATTATTGTGTATGTACAAACCACTAACATTGTTTTAGACTTGTGCTTTATTATTGTTTTATTTATACGTAACTTGTAGTTTTAGGTCTGGGTTTGGCTTTGGTACTTTTTTTCTGTAGCATTACACACTTGACTACTGTGTTTGTTCCTTTTTGTTTTCCCCCTTCATCTCTAGCTTTACACGCTTGACTACTGTATGTCTATTCCTTTTCATTTTCCCCCTTCTTCTGTAGCATTACACACTTGACTACTGTGTGTTTTCCTTCTCGTTTTCCCCCCTTCATCTCTAGCATTATACATTCACTACTGTGTGTTTGTTCCTGTTGGTTTTCCCTCTTCTTTTGTTATTTTTTATGTGAAAAGTTATATTATTATGTATTGAATGCTACTGAACTAGTAGGTTATACCATCAGAATTTATATATTCTATCAGCTAGTTTTCAAGTTTGTTATGATTTACCCAAAAGTTATTGTGGTTGACTTTATTCCATTAGTTGAAATAAACATTGATTTAAAACATTTGAAAGATATATTTCTTGTTAAATTCATGCACGTGATGATTCGCGAGAATAGTTCCGATAAATCCTGGAAAGAAAAAGATTTAACGATGACGTTATTTTTGTGTTCATGTACGTGAATAGAATAGTATTAGATGCATGAACTGTATTGGGCAAGTAAATTTTAGAAATATCTATATTCATAAAATTGTTATAGTTTGTTTTATCAATTTATGTTAGTATCCTGTATTTAATTAATATTATTCACATCATTTCTGTTGCAATAGGATGGGACAAAGAAAATTCTTCACTTATTCTGAAAAACCTAACACCTCAGGTAATATTTTTATTGTATAATCTCATTGAAGTGAGCTTGATTCTCTGTTACTCAAGAGTTATAAAGACTGAAACTTTAAAAAAAAACACCAATAACTTTTTATTTTGTAAAAAAAAGAATTAAAATAAAGATGATTTATGAACCCCCTTCCCTCTTTTCTAAAAAATTAAAACTGTAAGTTTCTTTACTAAGTACACAATTTCTAATAAAACTATTCTCTTTATCAGCTCCATTTGTATTTTTTAAAAACTGTCTAATCTATAAACTTTGTTTTAAATAAAAGCTTTATTAACCCTACTCATATGGGCCTGGTTCTTTTACTTATGCCATGATGTTTTAGAGAGTTAACATTCAAAATTTAAACAACTTTATTACCTATGTTTTTAATTTCAAAAACAGATGTTTGAAAAATTCTTAATGTTCGCTTTTGTTGTCACGTGACATGTGAACACACTTGTCACCTTTTACGAAAGAGAACATTCTAGAAAACTAAATACAAAAACTGTAAGATGACAAGAAGTACTTTTATTCTTAATATGAATATAACCTTTCACTCAGACTAGTCTGATTACATAAAGTCAGAAACATTTCTAGTTAAAATGCTTTATTTAGAAAAAAATCTGATTTTTTATGTAATTGTACTAAAAGCTTATCAAATTTCATAGAGATGCACTTGGTAAAAATTCTTAAGTTGTAGTATGTTAGTTTCATGGTTAAAAGTTTTGTCATTTTCGTCATACCCGTATGAGTAGGGTTAGCCTCTTATCTAATAAAAACTGGCACTTATTTTGCCTAAATATTGTTGAGCTTTAATATAAAGTGTGAGTTCACTTGGAATCCCTGGTAATTCATATTACAATTATTTATAAGCATCAACAGCTATCTGCTTTCAAAGTACAGTATTTTTAACTTTACTAGCTGTATGTATGTTTAGCATTTGAGGATTTAGGACTCATTCTATGGAAATGTCAGTTTATTCCGTTAAAAGCTCAGTTATGTGTTAGCCGTGAGAACCTTAATGCTCACTTACAGTATTTAAAGTAGTTGTGAATTTGAAAGTGCTGTGTCATTTGTACATAATGTTTTTGTTTGTCTTAGATTGATGGTTCAACCCTCAAAACATTATGTATGCAACATGGTCCCCTACAGCTTTTTCATCTACTTCTAAACCATGGGATAGCACTGGTACGCTACTCCAGTCGTGAGGAAGCATCAAAAGCTCAGTCAGCTTTGAACAATTGTGTCCTTGGCAACACCACCATCCTCGCTGATATACCGAGCGAGTCCGAGGTCCAGCAGTACCTTCAGCTTGCCAGTTCTAGCGGGATGGGATGGACAAGCAATCAATCCTCAGGGAGTGCCAGCACTTCGTCGTCTGGCTTCCGCAGCAACGGTAGCTCGTACCCCTTCAGCGGAAGTGGGGGCAGTGGCAGTAGCCGTATGGAATCGGGTACTTGGAACCCCACCAGCTCTCGTTTGTGGGCTTTCCCCGGTAACAGCAGCAGCAGCCTGTGGAGCACTCCTACTAATATGAGTGACAGAAATCAAAACTCGCGTTCCTTCTACAATTCCTTTTTGTCTAGCGATTTGTTGGGCACCGAGTCCATGTAACTCGAGAAAGTAAATCTGGTTTCAGGACCCTGAAAACGTCCAGCCACAAGTTACGTTAGGAGATCTTCCAGGGTAATAAGTATATCTATTATAAATGTATTAACACGAGTTCTGAGGTGCATTCTTTGTAGTTTAAAACCATTGATGCCAATTATATCTTAATTGGTCAGTTTGTGATGCAGATTATTATGAAACTATCTAAGACAAACATACGTACCTAAAGGTTATAACACTAATATAGTTATTATTATTATTATTATTATTATAAGTAATTATGATATTCTCAGGCTTCTCAGAAGCCACATGTCAGTTGTGATAACTGAATTGTCAATTGTTGGTTTAAGAAAGAAAAAAAAATTATATATATAAAAAATACATTCTTCCATTGTGTTAACTGAACTATTGAGGTGTTGGGATGCAAAGTTCAAACAAGTGTGTGATATTTTTTACAGCATTGTTTTGACTTGTGTGTGTTTATTTCACTCTCTACTTTGCTTCCAACTCCTCAACTTCTTCAAAATATGCTCAGCTGTCGTAAGAAATTAGATGTTTGTGTATATTTGTATCTGAAGTGCCAGAGATGTACAGAAGGCCTTACCTGAACGTTATCTGCCATATCAATAATATTGACGGATCCTGAACTTGGTTTATGTTGATATTAGTAATTACAGTTGAGAATGTACAGTTCAGTAATGTGTTGTCAGCCAAAAATAACTAAAACCTCAATAAATATCATTTAGAATTTTTTTACTTTCACAGGCATAACATTTCTTGTATACTGTTTGTCTTTCTCTCACACTCTTTTTTTTTTTAATTTTTCTCTCTCCTTTTAGGGGTAATTTATTGTATTAGTTTCTTATTGATTGAAAAGAAAGTTAATTTTTCTCAGCTATAGGTTGTGGATCTGTATTCAGAAATAACTGCCACAACCATCTTGTTAAATATAATGATTTACTTTTTATATAGTTGTTAGGATCCACAGTAAAATTAGTTATGTACATAGAAAAAAAAAAAAGAGAAAAATTATACTAAAGTAAGAAATAATGAAAAAAAAAAACCATCAGTTATTTTCCGCTGATGTACGAAAAAAAACCTCATTCCAAAGGTAATGTACGGATAATACATTTTAATCGGATCTTTTCTTGGCAGAAGACAAGTGTGTAGTATCTTGGCAATCATTTCTTGATACCTGGTGATGTAAATTTAAATATTCGTGGAACATTGCATTAGGTGACCAGGATTGTTCAAACCATGCTATGGATACTTTGTACTTAAGGACTGACTAGTGTGTATGTCCTCAACATCCAAAGAAACATTGGAACGAAGTTTGACACCCCTCGGAGTCAAGTGGAATGTCCCACGTTTTCTGATGTTTTATGCTGAAATATGAAATTTTGCATATTTGTTTTTATGTGGTGCTTTTAAGAAGGCTACACAGGACCATCGGTGGCAGGATTGTTGCCTTCGTTCCAGGAACTTTTAAAAAAAATCCTGCCTTCTAGTGCTGACTATGATTTTTTGAGCATTGTTGCTTGCCAAAGTTTATAAGATCAAATTACTAAAACCAATTTAAATGAGATTGTTATAAATAGAAAGAAGAAAAAAAAATTGTTTCTATTACAGAAATATTGCTTTAAGAGTGTAATATGTGTAATATATATAAATGTGTGTATAAAGTTCCTTTTATGTTGACTGTCTGATTAGGGCAGCTCTTGGTCCCAGGAGACTTGATGTGAGACTAGGCCTAAACCCGGTGGCTGTATGATCTACTACACATTACATCTTTTGGTACAAAATATAGTGTTAGATTGTTTTGGTTTGTTGTTCACATGTTTATTAGTGTCAGTTGGCCTTGCATTCCATAGAGATATTATACTGGAAGAGTGGCTCACAGTTTGTTTAGCATAAGTAATGTTCTATGTAATGCTGCTTTTAAAGACTTAAGTAAGGTGAATAAAACATTGAGTTCTTGTCAAGAAATAAAAAAAAAGAAAAAACATAAAAAAAATTAATATATATTTATATGTGTTCTGTTTCATTTTGTAAAGGATTTTTGTTTAGCTTAAAAAAAATTATTGTATGTACATTTAAGATGTCTAGTGCAGTGTATACAAATAGTACTGGTCTTTAGTCTGTTTCCTTGACTTTTCATTGCAATGACTTGCACACCTCTGTGGACCATACAAAAATAGGAGGCTTATAGTCAGCACAGTGCCTCCATCCGAAACTAAAGTAGAACATCCATACATCTTGGCTGTACTTAGTGATATGTTTGTTTTAGATTGAAATTCTCAACAACCTGTAGCTACAGTGATAATAATAAACTAACCTGTGCCACCCATTTTTCCAAAAAAAGGTTTTGTTTACTGTATATTCACACCAAGGACACTAGTATACAGTAATTAAACTAACCATTGTTTTTAAAAACCGATCGTCAAAATGTTCATACTTGAGAATTTCTCGTGGAAATTCAAAGGCTCGGAAATAGCCCTACTTGGCTTTAACCTTGTGGTCTTCACTTTTAAGAAGCCAGTGACGTATTATGTTAGTATGGCCATCAGCTGATGGACGGCATTGATGTGCCCCGAAATATTTTGGTGTTTTGACTCTGACCGTCCAGTCCTTCTTTTTTTTTTTTTTTTTGTACCCTAAAGGTATTTGTCTTCAGTCGGGAATCCTAGCAGTGGTGTGATTTCTAAATTTCGCCAGCAGTTCCAAGACCGGTTTTCACTACTCCTAGAAAGAGTACACGGTGCTAGCTCACTTGTAAAGGTTGTGTAGGAGAAGCTCCTTCTCCTAATATTCCTGCATCTTCCTAAATTATTCTATGTTTTAAAGTGAACTTGTAAAATAAAGCTGTAAATGGAGCTACTAATTAAGGTATTGTCATCCCAGTACTGTGAAGTGTATGTGTGTGTGCTTATGCTTTACTTGTTCTTATTGTCATTGGTAAAGACAAGCTCAGCATGGTTAGAAAGTTTGTCCAGTAAAGTATGTATACAGATCAGAGTTGATATGTGATATTGTGTGGCTTATCTTCGGGACTTTACTGTGGATTATGTTTTATATTAGTGACACTGGCACTGTAAATGGCTGTGTGCCTAGTCTGAGTATTAGTTTCACCCAGTTTTTGTTGTCACTGTTGAATTCCATGAATCTGGGACCTTATTTCAACACTTATTTTTTAAAAGCTCTTTTGAAACCCACGGCTTGAGCACTAGTGAGAAACAAGTCCAGAACAGTTTTGACTCAACTCTTCCTTGCCTTTATTTTAACAACAGTTGTGAATTCTGTGTTGATCATAGGATTTACTTTTGTTTCATTTAGTGAGCAGTGTTTAAAGCCTGGGTTTGATTCACTCAGTTTTTAGTGAGTTAAATGTGATTTAAATAATATCCATGAATGTTATTGGCTCGTTTTTGAAATTGAACTTAAGTTATTTTGTACGGTAAAGAGTAAAAATGTTAGATTTTAAATATAAATGTTTCATATTTGGTTACGGTTGCTCGACCTTCTTAATGTATAGAGCTACAGTTAGTTTTCTCTAGTACGATATTAGAATTAAGTAATATTATTCTATTGGTGTTTGTAAGAGGAAACGAGACATTTCTAGCATTTAGAAGAAACAACAGGCACAGATCTCGCCTCCTTTCCATGTTGAGAGCCACTCAGTCAGCAACAACTTAAAACAGCAACGGGTTTTTATGACACATATAATCAGCATAAATTTTCCGAAAAAAACGACACTGGTGTGGAAAAGTAATCTCAATTAATTGTGTTTAAACGCTTCTTTCATGTTGTGCTTAGAAAACTATTATTTCGTTGTTATGGTTGATCCGTTAGTGGAGGCATTTCAGAACGTAGCAAAATTTTCATTGCTGAGAGTTACTTAAAAGTCAAAACAGTATCTAGAGCAAGCTTACCCCTTTTTTTTTTTTAATTTGTCTTTTCAGATTAACCATATTTAAATCTTTTCTTTAACTCGTTTGTAATATATCAGATGTTGGTGTTACTTAAGTAACTGTTCTCACAGCTCAACAAATCAAAATTAATTGGCTATTGTCATTATGTCGGGATGTGTTTTGTAAATGTGTGTACAGGTTGCTGGTTGTACGTTGCTGCAGCCAGTTTGGTGTTCTATAATTAAGCTGTTAAAAACTAATGTTATCCTGGTTTATGTGAATGGAGTTGATAATGAAGGTTACAAGCAATGTTTATGTATTCATGTTTATGCCACCAATGAAAGATATTTTCTGTCATCTTTGACTGTCAGTATTTCATGTTGCCATTTTACAATTTAAATGTTTTCAACACTCAAAAAAATAAAAGTGAAAAATTTACAATTTGTATTAAGTGCACAGAAGAAGAAAAAAACTGGACTAGTAAAAAAAAAAATATATATATATATATATATATATACATTGGTAGATATCTTAATTTTAGCCGGTATTGGTGATATTACAGCTTGTGTGAAAACGTTTTCAAAATTTGATTTGTTAGTAGTCTTGTCATAATTTAAAACTGGTATAGGTAGTAAAATATGAAATCCCTATAACTGTTGGAGAAAGAATTATCAATATTGTTATATACTGAATGTAATTGAAAATCCCTCTTTGGATGTTTTTAACCTTACTGTGAGTTAAACCTACCTACCCTCTGGTTTCAGGTTTGGGAATGTTTTTTTTTGTTTTATTACTACAGTAAGGACATCATTCCACCCAAACAGAGGTGTTTTAGGTGAAGTTCATTGGCGTATCTTTGCATCGTGTGTTTGAAAACACTAATTAACATCGACGTTTAGAAGTGTTGAAGTTAGGCTTAAGATTGTCAGGGTCACACGTGTTCAGCGTGTTCGTTTTATCAGTTACTTTAAAAGTGAGAGCTGTGTGAGAAGGCCCTTCCTTAAACTGTAACAATCTCTAGAGAAAGTAACCTTTCCAAGAGATGGGGTAGAAATGACGATATATATATATATATATATATATAATGATTTATTATCT